AGCGGCGTCTCGGGGGTAATGCTGTCTATGAGTGGGGCGAGTCTCTTCTCCATGACGGAATGCGACTGTCACTCTTTTGGAGCCGCCAACGTTGCTTCCATTCGAAGCTGAGGGTGTGCACGGCCCATCTGCACTGGAAGCAAGGTGACAATCCGGCAGCCGATGTAGCAACCAAGCGGTGCACCGCGGATTCCAGAGATGGGTTATAGGTGGGAATCAAGAGGTGTTCTGGCTTCACGTAATGCATGAAATTAATTCATGACCATGAAGGAATATGCTTTTCAAACGAGCCAAAGGGAGGGTGAAGGTTTCCGTGGAACGGCTTGGGCTTGATGTGGGTGCAGGATGAGTGGTTACGAGCGAGGTGGGAGACACATTTTATCTAAAAGGGACAACATGCCGCTGCTGCAGTTACAAACAAAATTTCTGTACCAAGCAACTGTTTATTGCACGTTGTTGCGAGGGAGTTGTCCCACAATAACTGCCTCATAGCATGTAAAGGTATTGGCATCACAGCTTGCTGCTCGTGTGGCCCTGCACCTCATTACCTGTGGCCTCATTCAACCAAGGTCTCAACCCGAGTAAGCGGTATGTCTGATTTCTTTTCCGCGGCAGAGAACACCACACAGATACACATTGACATAGACGTCATCCCGCGCTTTCGGTAGCATCCAGGCGAAAGCATACCATGTACCGAACAGGCATCCTCTTCAACCCAGCCAGCACCGTGCAACCTGCCCTTCAGCAACGCAACGATCCCTGTACCTACGGACTGTAATGGCAGACCCTAATCTGTATAGCGATAAGCACAACAAGCCAAAGTCCTGGCCGTCAGATCAGTCGAGCAATCAATTGTGTGGACGACCCGTGCTGCATGACAACTTTGCTCCGCAAGAAAGTACTTTGCGCAAACAATTACACTCCGCAAATCTCGGCTCAGCGGTCGGCCTGCTACGCGAGAGCTCCACTCATCCACTGCTCCTCGATGGCGGCGAGGATGGGCTCGGGGTCGAGGCCGGCGGCGCGCATGGCATCGCACAGGGCCTTGTTCTTTGCGGACTCCATGCCTAGGCACAACAGCAGCTCGTCGAACTCCGCCTGAATGGCGAGCACCGTCGGGGTGATCGGATTCGCTTCTTAAGTCTGTAAGTTTTCAAGTCTCATTTCCGAGTGCGTGCAGCGCGCATCGGCAGCGCTTGCAACCTTGCTTGCTAATGACCCACCGTAGGAAGCTTCATTCCCAAGTTTAGCCGGCACTGCATCACGGCTTGTATGATCCAACAAGAGGAAAACATCCAGCTGCACAGCTGCAGGCTTGGTAAGCGCTGGACCGGTGGAACAGAGGTCCCCTCCTTACCTGCATGTCGTTCAACTTGCGGACTGCCTCATCAAGCTGCGCCTTCGTAGTGTCTAGCTGATGCCGGTGCATGGCAATCTTTTCCTCGTAGCGCTGCCAGATGCCGCCGCGCTGGACCTGTCCACTTGCACCTTGCGCCTGACGTGTCCCTGCGGTTTGAGGGGCGGTACTAAGGTCAAGCGCCAGCGCATTAACCAAAGCATCTTCTCGCGATAAGTGGACACTTAGGGTTTCCCTTGTCATCTGTAGAACCATGAAGAGGGCGCAACATGGAAATGCAAGCCTGATCCTTCTGATTTGCACTTCCTTGCATGCTTTAACAGGTAATCACGCTCCCTAGACATACAGATGCATATTCGACCACATCGCATCCCAATCCCTTTGCATTCAGCCTATTTGCTCACCAGAAGCGGGCTCAGCCGCGGCCGCTGCTAACCTGGCAGCCGCCCTCTGGTGGAGCTCTGCGTAGCGGCTTTTGTCCGCGAGACTAGGGGACGCAGCCTGCCGTGGCAGCGCCGACGCCGACATGGGCCGGGAAGCCTTTACGCCGACGACCGTCGTGGACGGTGAAGCCGGAGTGACAATTGCCTGGCCAGCGGCGTTTGCACCACTGGCTCCCAGTATGCATTTAGCGGATGAGGCCGCAGGCGCTGCTGTCGCCGTGACGGCTGCAGCTTGCGCTTTGCTTGCGGACCCTGAGCGCGGCGAGAATACGCTTTTCAAGAAGGCACCAAACGTCGCCGAACGGGATTGCTTCTTTGGCGTGGCCCCCTGATCATGCGGCTGGGCTAGGGAGGGTGCAGCGGTGGCGGTGGAAGTGCTGGCCTCTGGCGCCGCCGTGGCTACGCCCTGCACTGCCTTACTTGTCCTAGCCAGGAGCTGCTCGACAGCCAGCTTGAGTTGAATCATCTGCGTGATGCTGGCCACGTCCACCTCCTTGTCCTCCGCCAAGATGTTTTGCTTCAGCGTTGACAACTTCTCAATGCCCACAACAATTTCCTGCATTTAATAGGAGATGTGAAAGGCGCAGCGAAAGGTTATGGGCTAGGTTTCATGATGTTATGCTGCACTCCCGAGACCCTGACCCGTCGAGTATAATGATCGCGTGCCGAGACGCCCCAAAGTAATAGCAGAAGTAAGGATGCTGAAAACGTGGTGTTCGCCGGCAAAACACGCCGCAGCGCGTAGCATGAGCCACTCTCCCATTTCATGGTGCACGGCCCCAGCTTCTGCATACCTTTAGCGGATCAGCTGTGGCCGATGCCGAAGATGTCGACGGACCTGCCGTGCTCTTCAATGCGGCACTGGCGGCCTTGCCGGGCACTGCAACCGCTGTGACAGCAGCCGCCAGCGACGAGGGCCCAGCAGAGGGCACCGATGCGCCGCCGGTGTTGAAGAACGCTGGATTGGGGGTGGGCATGTCGCGAGGCAGGCTGTGCAGGAGTGTCACAGGGGATGGCGGCCGATGCTGTGCAGCCGCGCCATGCGCACCTTGTGGACCCGCCGCTGCAGCTGCGGCTCGTTTCGTGACAGCTTGCTGGGACACAGCTGTCGGGAAAGCCGGTAGCCAGGTTTCCGTAAGGGTCGTGACATCTGCGGTTGCATTCGCTGCCGAGGCTGAGGGTGCTGGAGCCTCGGCCGTGGAAAGCGTTTGTATTTGCAGGGCCCCCTGCAGCTCAACACTGCCTACGACTGCGACGTCTCTTACGTAATCAGTAGCGGCAACATCACGCGAAAGTTTGCTGGGCGGCGGCGCCACGGCAACCTCCAGGTCCTGACTTGCGGCTTCAAAGAAGGGCGACGCCTCTACATTTACTCGGGACGTTGTCGTCGTGGGTGTGACCGCACCACCCGTGGCGTCTCTGCCGACTGGCGTGTTGGCGGCAGTCGTCACGGTCGAGTTTGGGGCCCCACCTCCACCTTCACCGGGCGTTCTCGGGCCCGGTGTGGTGGCGGCAGTGCTCGGCGGCCGGGCGCTATCCGGCGGCGGCGACAATGCAGCTCCCGCGGCCCTCGGCAAAACATCGAGGCTGCCGAGACGCAATGCGGGGACCAAGAACTTCCGTCCTCCAGGCAAGTTTATTGATGTACGGATTGGAGTGGCGCTAACGTCCACACTAACCCCCGAGGCAGCGGCACCACTGTCTTCGCCATGCACGGCTGCTGTTAGGGGGTTTTCAGCGGTAGATGCAACTAGAGACAATGATGGTGCCAGGTGCCGTTGGGAGTTCACTGGTCCGTCGGCTGCGGCAGCGCTAGTGGCAACAGTTGCAATTTGGTCCCGTGCCAAGGTCTCCAGGCCACTGGTCAGTGCAGCGGCCGTATAGGCTCCCTGTTGGGCATGTGACGGCCCCGTGTCCCACAATTCGCCAGGCGCCACTGCTGCTGTTGCCCTACGCCGCGTCAACGATTGTTGATGTTGGTCCAGCAGTGATGCCGGCGCGGACGTGCCTTGCCCCGTGGAAGCGCAACCGGCCATCCCGCTCATGTCAGTGGCGCTGCGGCTTCGAGCAGTGGGCGTGACCACCTTGCATAGACCGTGGTGCGCAATGTCCAGCGCTTTGCAACAGGCTTCACTCATAGACGACTCGCCCAGCCTCCACTGGGGCTGCCCATGAGCCTCCGGCTCCTGTTGAGTGGCAGCAGGAGCAGTGCACGTGTATTGCTCCCCTGCAAATGGAGTGTCGTCGAGGCGGCAGAACGTGGACATCTCCGGCGCAGTACCAGACGGGGCCGGTGCGGAGTACGGGGTGGTCAGCTTGTTGTGAGCGTTCCAATCGCGACAGTGCTTGTACCAGTTATCACTGTAGCGGATGTCATCAGCCAGCTCATGCGGCAACGGGCCGTCCAGCTTGCCCGTGTCGCCGGGATGCATCATGCTGTCAAAAAAACGCTCAAAGTCATCTACACGGAACGCCTCCGGCTTGCGCTCCATGGCCCCCTGCAGGGCCTGTTGTAGGGCGGCCTGGATGGCGGGTGCCGTGAGGACGGGTGCGACGCCCGTGATGACTGACGACGGCGCTGGAGCCGCCACGGGCGCCAGCCATTCACTGTGTCCGGGGATGGCGGCTGACAACGATGAGGTCCCGACAACGGCAGACCCGTAACCAGTGCTGCGCTGCTGCTGGCTTTGGTTTAGCAGCTGTACAGAGGCGAGGATGGAGCGCTCGGGAGGCGGTGGTGATGGCCGCACGGAGGTGGGGGTGAGGTTGTTCTGACCCTGTGCAGCGCTAGACGCCCATGGCATTGGGGATGGTGTGCTGCGTGCGGCTGCCTGTTGGATGGGCGTGACTCGCGTGGGTGGGCCATTGGACAGGATGGAGGGAGGGGTGGGAAGCATGAATGCGTTGGTAGCGGCGAATGTCGCTGGGGGTGAGGAGTAGGCGCTGGCACAAGCGAAGGGGTTGGTTACTGGGGCGCCACCCTGTGACAGGCTGCGTGAGGGGCTAGGTGGCTTGGGCAGCATCGGCGCGACGCTAGTGGGTGATGGGGAGGGCCCGGGGGATGCGTTGATCCGGACAGGCGTGGGCAGCCGCGTGCTGATGTTTGAGGCTGGTGGCGCGAAGTTTGGGTTGGCTTGTGACTGACGTCCACGGAGTGATGGGCTGGATGGGGTGGAGAAGCGCTGCCGTGCCGGTGCCTGGTGTCGCGGCGCCACCAGTTCTTGCTGCTGCTGCTTGGGGTATTGGGTAGCGATTGGCGCCATGCCCGGTAGCAGCAGACCGCTGAGGCCCGGTGCATATGTGGCCAGGGCCGGCCGGCTGACGTTGAGGTTTGGTTGCAGGACGTATTTCTGATTGACATTGCGCCTGTGGAAGGACCGGGTCAGGACTTTCGGCTTCGTCGCAAATTAGGGTCAACACGACGAGCATGCCCGGAGATGCCGGAATGTGATTGTTTCGAACGATAAGAGCACGTGCATACCTTGGACCAAGCGTTTGTAAATGAGATAGGTCCCCCAATTTCGGCGGAGCTTGCAGGCTGGCAGGTTGGTTGCTGACATTCTCTTTGCCGAGGGCGACCTACGGGGAGAAAGGGGCCCTGTAGACCTGCAGATGGGAGGTCTATAAAATATGCAAAAATTTACAACTTACGCGGGTGACATCATCCGATCCCTTTGCCCCCGTTAGCTTGCTTCGTAAAGCTAGGGGTAGAAGTTTGAGACTGCCCCACTGCAGACATATTGAATCGGGGCAGTGATTTGAGCCCAGCAGTTCTTGTCATGTTTGGTTAATGAAAATATTACCGTAGCAGGCTTGAGAGCATTGAAAGGGACAGCGGGCTGACTTTGTTGGGACATTCTCGTCAGGTCTGCAATTGTCGCCTCCTATCCAGCCAGAAAGCCAGAAGCGGAAACCTATGAGTTTGTGGCCATGTCGTTGGCATCAGAGGAAACTCGCGAAACGCTGTTGGGATGCCAAAGCTGTTGTGCAGACCGCAGAGCTGTCGACGTACGGCGCGAGATCCAAATTGTTACGCCGAGTCATAAATTAAGTCCTCCGAATATTTGTCATGTTGTTTCTGCGTTACAACTGCGCGCCTGGCAGCAAACTAAAGCAATGATGCTAATGCACTTGGTATGCATGCGCACGGTCGTCCAACGTCTTCATAAAGACAGAAGCGCGCAGTAAGTGGTCTCACAAGTTTACACTGTAGTCATGAAACCAATACTTTGCAGCCTTGCTCCCTTGCTGCTCTTTGGCATGCTGAGATACGCCAGTCCATAAACATGGTACGGTAACACCCCCGAGCCAGGCAGGTTCACCAGTCCCCGTCGCGATGCCAATTTCACGGTCATTCGTGAGCGCACATGTATAGTCCATTGTGCTGCATCCAAGCCGGGAAACTATGCTTGTGGCAGCCCAAGCGCGGTATGAGACAGCCTTACGTGCGTATCCAACCAAGTAGTGCGATCTCACAGCAGGATACTGTGCAGCAGCAAGCTACTTCAGAGCCTAGCTCGTTAAGCAAGCTCCATCAAGATCCAGTACCAACCCCATGCCATTCCTCAAGCTTCCCAAACGACCCACCAACGCTCCTTGCTACATTCCCACCTTCGTCAATCAATCAGCCGCGCGAAACATGGAACACTGCGCAAAGCTTCGCCTGAGCAAAGAGCTTTCCAACCCGGACAAACGTAGATGTCACAAGCGGCCGCGCCTAATCACCTGGGCTTTGGTTCAAGCCTTCCTCCTTACCATCAGGGACGAAACATCATGCATTCTAACATCCTACTTGCTCCAAAAGGGTCAGCTGTGCAAAACGGACAATCATCCTTACTAAAATTTCTTTTCCAACACCTCACACCGCATGAGCTCAGTGCTGTGTTCGCGGCGATGGCCGCGCATCCGCGCTGCCAGGTCCCGCTGCGGCGCCGCTGGCACCGCTGCGGCGGGGGACCTTGGCTGGACGCGGCGACGCCGCAGGCGATGGCCGTTCCCGAGCCCCTGCAACGGCGACCATCCAGTGCACAGGGCGGTGGCGGCGGCAGCAACGTAACCTGCTAAGAGGACTACAAATCTCACACCAGCCCAAAAGCTATTCCCCCACCACCACACACACACACCACTACGCAATGCCGGGATCAAAAGACACGGTATCATCGCATGCCACTGCCTCCATGTGCCTCCATGAGACAGGACGGGCGATTCTCATCAGAAATAAGCAGGATGGCTCAAAAAGCAACCGCAGCTGGCCCCCCTTGTCTCCCCTCCCCTACATCGCCACACCCCGCCTTCTACACCTGAAGCCGCATCACAAGGCAGCCAGTGTGCCCGCTGGCTGCAACCGTGCACTATGCTCCCCCATCCTTCAACTCCTCACCCCTTTGGGAGTCCGCGCACGTGCATTTTCCCCCTAGGAACCTCCTCCCCCCCCCTTTCTGCGGCCTCTTTATTGCACTTACCACCCTTCCCTGGGGCCGCCTGCCCCGGAGCCAGCAACGGCGCATCCTCGCGCTTCGCCGTGCGCGGCAGCAGCGCCGGCGGCGTGGGCGGCGGATTGTTGGTGAAGTAAGGGTGGCGCAGCGCATCGGTGGAGGAGATGCGGCGCAACGGATCCAGCTGTATCATGCGACCCAACAAGTCCAGCGCGTCGCCGCTGGCCTGGGGTGTGGTGGTGGTGCGGGAAATTCAGGGCAGCGTGGCGGGTTAGGAAACTTCTTTTTTCCGAGATGCGATTGTTACAGCAGACCCCGGACGGGTCGAGTGCACCAGCACAACACTGTGGGTCCTATCAGAAGACGATCGCACTGCGGTGTTGGGAGGAGTTGGGGGGTGGGGTTGTTCTCTTCTCTAGGGAAGAGGGAAGGGCTGGAACTGCCATTGTGGGCGAACAAATGGCGGGCCCTGGGATATATTGATCTCTTTTGGTACTTCTCGGGTTGCCATTTTCTCATTAATGAACCCCCGTTTTCCCGTCTGCACGAGGCAGACGTGGCATAATACCACGGGATGATGGCCTCCCGGGTTGAGGGGGGGAGGTTGGTGTTGGTGTCCTGAAGGCGGCACCGACACCGCACTTCGGCACGCCCTATGAGACGCAAACCCCAGCGCCGGTAGGAGGAGAGTCGGTTGGGAAAAAAGGTTGCAGAGGACGGTGGTAACAAGGGGAGAGAGAGAGAGAGAGGGAGAGGGAGAGAGAGAGAGAGGAAAACTTTGCACGTCGCCACGATATCGTTCCCCACTACAGGAACAGGAACAGGCCCCAGCCCCCAGCTGAAGGCCGCGCTGCCTGTGTAACTTCTTGCACACGTACAAATGGAGAACCCTAGACCCCGCGGCGCGGGTGCGGCACGGGGCGTCTCCTCCCATCCACAATTTTCTTCCCGCTTGGCTTGAAAACGTCGACAATTGTCTCTTCCTAAAATTTGAATCATCATCGTCATCATCAGCATCAGCATCATCTCCATCGTCATCATCAGCATTGTCATCATCATTACCAACATCAACATGAATCCCCATCCCTCCTGGCGCGGTACAACCCACCGAGGATTCCAGGTTCCAGCGCCGTTCTCCCTCCCGCCCTCCCCTTTTCCCATTTTCCGCAACTTCCCCCCTCCTTTTCCTCCTCCTTTAAAGCTCTTCCCTCCCTCCCTCCCTACTGACAACTGCATGTGGTTCCCTCCCTCCCTCGCTCCCTCCCTCCCTCCCTCCTTCCCTCCCTCCCTCCCTACAATGACCGCCGGATAATCCTCACCGCCGGGAAGACCTGGCGCAGCGGCACCGGCTTGTTCTCCGTGAACTGCAGGAAGTACGGCAGGTCCTTGGCTGCCGGCCAGTTGCCCTCCACCCCCGGGGTGCCCAGCAACCCGAACACCTTGGACAACACGTCGATGTCGCACATGCCGTCGAATAGCGGCCTGCAGCAATTTGCAACCAAAAAAAACAACAGAAGTACTTTATATACTGTTCACCAAACTGTTCACCGAAGAGGGCAAAAGGGAGGAAAGGATGCACATAGAGAAGATATATATACATATATACACATATCGCTACCACTCCGCCCTCCAAATCTCCGCGTCTGTGTGGTCGTCTGATGCCCCTGTTAGGTTCACATTTCCCATTTTCCAGAATGCCATCCCTCTCGTCGAGAGCTCTCACCCGGCTAAACCTCTCACCCTCCGCCCTGCTCTCACCTTCGGAGCAGCAGCTCCCCGAAAATGCAGCCCGCCGCCCAGACGTCCACTGCCGCGGTGTACTGCCGGGCACCGAAAAACAGCTCCGGCGCGCGATACCACTGCGCAAAGACCTGCGCGAGGAGTCTTGAGTTGTTGTTTGTCAAAGTGTTTTATGAAGCACCCCGAGAAGACGCCAAAAAATAAAGCGTAAAAATATAATAATAGTGATGTGATTGCATGCGTCTTTGCTTCGGTGCGCGTGTTTCGTTGTGTGTGTGGGCGGAGCGGGGCGGGGCGGGGCGGTGCAGGGCGGGACGGGGCGGGTCAGAGGAGGCACCAGTCATTTCCAGTCCTCGTTGTGTTGCAATAGTACTCAAGCGCCCAACAGCTGATCATGGATTTATCTGTTTACGTATTTATGTGCTTCAATCAAGCGGTCGGTCAAGCAATCTTCTGAATCAGCCAAAGCGGCAGTTAGGCTGTCGATAAAATGGAACCTGGAACCACCCCGCTACCCCTCCCCGCTACCCAACCCCGCTAACCCTCCCCGCTACCCATTCATCGGCCGTTTAATACAATATTATGTGAACGGCATTTTTGTGCGCCTCGAATCCCTCTCATTCATCCATCCATCTATCCATTCAACAACCCTCCCAGCAATTCCACCACCCTAAGCCAGCCCACTGTTGCATCACGCAGGGCGTACACCACCATGGGATCTGCTGACATGACAACCGTGCCGAACAGTGCCGTTTTTTCTGCAGTCGTGATGTAACGTTGACCCACCAAGCCCACCTGATGTGTGAGGCGGCCGTCAGGGCTGCCGTACAAACGTGACAGTCCGAAATCTGCCAGCTTGAGTGATCCATCAGGCGCGATGAGGCAGTTGTTGGGCTTGATGTCCCTATGGAGCACCCAACTGGAGACAAGAAGAAGTGGAAGACGCGGTACGGTGTCGTACGATACAAAACACGATAACGAGAGCGGCAGAGCAGGTTGTGTGAGGATATACACACTTACATACACACATGCCAGAGGTTTAACTAAGTGATGAGAGAAAAGAAGGTTGGAAAACTGGAAAACGATCTGCAGTGCAAAAAGCAAGGAAATACGGGGTGGCAGGGGCAGCAGTAGCCAGTAAGCATTTTTTTATTATCCACTCGCTCCCCATACATGAATTCTGTTGCATGTGTGCAGTCGCAGCAAAAAACGGCAGCAACAGCAGTAGCCGCAAAAAACAGCAGCAGCAGCAGCAGCAACAGCCGCAGCAGCAATAGCGACAGAACCCCTCCCCTCCTACCGCCTGTGGCACGTGTCCAACGCCGCCAGCAGCTGTCGCATGTAGCTCTTCACATCCGCCGCCGCCAACACCAGGTTCTGATCCCGAATGATCGCCTCCAGATCACTGTGCATGAACTCCAACACCTGGCGGAGGGTGGTGGGGTGTAAATCGTCCAGGGCGAGTTGGTTTCGGAGCTAGAAGAGAGGAGAAGGGTGAGGAGATCTCTACGACAGAACAACAGTCATAGAATTGTTGGATAACAATGTGCGTGAGTTTCGAATATGGTTTCGAATGGTTTCGGAGGACACTCCGTGAGCATCATCAGCTTTGGCCCGCTCTTGTTTATGTGAGCATGAACCCTCACATGAACCCTCACAGTCCGCTCGGCTCCCTCGGGTATATTCTTCATTCCCTCAAGCCCACCCCCGCCCGCCGGCGGCCGGCCTTGACATGCTTTCCCCCTAACGCCGTTTTTCCCTCCCATCACCCCTTGGTTCTCCATCCCCGCTCATCCTCATCCCTTCCACTGACTTCCTCCCCCTCCTTCCTCCCCTTTCTTCCTCTCCCTCCTTCCTTCCTCTCCCTTCCTCCCCAGCCCTCCTTCCTTCCTCTCCCTCCTTCCTCCCCCTCCTCCTTCCTCCCCCTCCTCCTTCCTTCCCCCCTCCTTCCTCCCCCCCTCCTTCCTCTCCCTCCTTCCTCCTCCCCTCCTTCCTCCCCCCCTCCTTCCTCTCCCTCCTTCCTCCCCCTCCTCCTTCCTCCCCCCCTCCTTCCTCCCCCCCTCCTTCCTCCCCCCCTCCTTCCTCTCCCTCCTTCCTCCCCCCCTCCTTCCTCCCCCCCCTTCCTCCCCCCCTGAAGTCGCCCTCACCAGCACCACAGATTTCTTCTTGGGGTAGGCGTCCTCCAGTCGGATAATGTTGGGGTGGCGCAGCTCCCGCAGCAGTTTGATCTCCCGAAGGGCGGTGGGGTCCAAACCCTAGGAGGTCCAAGTGGGATGGGGGAGGGAAGGGTTGGGGCGGGGGATGTGGGAAGGGGGAGCGGACCATGGGGTTGGGAGGAAATGGAAGAGGGGGACAGGGAAACCCCCGGAGGAGGGAGGGAGGAGGCACTGCGGGACGGAAGGGAAAGCCGGTGGGTCAGCGAGCGGGTGTGGGGGTGAGGAAGAGAACGAGAGAGTGAGGCAGGGGGGAGTTGGGTGAGATAGGATGGGGGATAGATCCCATAACACGAAGACACAGATGGGATCTTGAAAAGCTGAACATGGGGCTGCGTTTCGTGCACAGGCAGGCGAACCTTCTTGCCATCGGTGCTTTTCTCGTCCGCGAAGATCTCCTTCAGCGCCACTACCTTGCCCGTCTGAAGGCGGGTTATACAGTCCGGGTGAGCGGAGTTTCAGGTATTACTGAAGAGAAGATGGCTATTGCTGTTCATAGACGCGCACCCGCTTATCTTGCCCTTTGTAAACAACGGCAAAAGTGCCCTGACCGAGCATGTCGCCACGAGCATAATTCTCAGCCATGGCTTATAGAGTTGTTGCGAAACAGCTATAAGAGTAATTGATACATATTTGCGTTGACTTCCTATAAAGTGGCCGCGGGGACGCAGACGTCCGCGGCCAAGAAGCGAAAAGGGTGCGGATGGCTGCCGGTCTTCAGTTACTTCCCTTGTTTGGGCGCTTAGTTGACAAGTCATCAACACCGCATCGTACTGCACCGCAACACATAATCGGCTTTACTTCACAAGCGTGAGACAAAGACGACAGAGACGAGGGAGGCTTTCGTTACAGTTGTACGGTTGAGTTAGGAAGCAATTTTAAGAAAGCAGGTCGCAAGATCGGGTCGATACGATAAGAGGCGGTGTCGATGAACCATGTTTTCGTAAGCTGACAGCATGAGCAAGCTTACACAGCCGACGCAGCGAAAACCCCGATAATATCCTGCAGAAGTTACTGCGCGGAGCTCGCACTCAAACGAAACTGCGCTTGTTAGGCTCAATCTGAATTTAGCTAGCTCACTGCTCACGATCGGCTGTTGAAAGGTAGGAAGCGCTGCGAACCATCGGAACCGCAAGCTTGAAAGCTCTTCGCATCAACGTAAATGCAACATCCCGAACATACGCCAATAACCTGATGAAATATATCTATTTGAGGCAAAGAGAAACGATGCTTCTTCTTGTGAAGCCCTTCCGACGTCCAAAAGGGCCCGGCCAGCGCTCGACTGGCCATCAAGCTGGTGAACGCATACAACCACAGACCCAGCATACTGCCCATCAGGAACCCTTACGTTTGACCCGCACCCCTCCCTTCCCACGCTCCATCCCATCCAAACCGTCGGTTTCCCGTCCCTCTCTCCATCTCTGCCCTGTCAGAGACAGCACCCGGCCCCGCACCTTCGTGGTACCTCAAGAGAAGCTTTTGCCAACATAATCCTTTCCTTCCTAGAGTCCCGCGCACGCCAACGCCGGGTGTCCAATAGCTACTGGCTACGGCCTTTGGCGGCAGCAGCGGCAACACCATGTTGCCTTCTGCGCCACGCTCAGCATTTGCTGCTGAATGTCGCTTCCAGCGTTTACTCTTTTCCCCAGGCAGCCCCTGTCCTAGCACCGGTCGCCGCTGCGGCCCCATTACTATTCCTAATGCTGCTACGGCAACCCGCGGCTGCGGAGGCATCTCCCCGATCCTCTCTGCTGGCAGTAGTTGCTTCCGCTGCTGCGGCATGGGCAGCGGCACTAGCAGCGCCGTCGGCCGCTGCCAGTCGCTACCGGGCCGCCGCCACGGCAGCCGCACCACCGCCGCCGCCACCAGAATGCTCGTCATTTCCCGCGCTGCTGCTGCTGCTGCTCCTGCGGGCGGCGGCGGCGGCGGCGGCGGTGCATCTGCAGCGTCTGATGACGTGGCCGTAGCTGCGCCGCGTGTCGAGGAGCCCAGTACGGCACTGTTGTTAGCCTGGTTTGCTTGTGGTAATCGGAGTCTGTTCGCGGCTCAGTGCCTTGTGGAGGTGCTGGTGGAGCTGTATCGGGGAGGTCGAACGTTTGGAGAGCTGCAGGTGGGCGTTACAGTACGGCTGTAGGTTGACCACGTGTCCGTGGCATGTGCCCAGTTGGGGCTTATGGGTGGTATGCAGGGGCCTGCTGTGGGGGGGGGGCCGTTTTGGACATGCGGTACGGGTACATGCAGTGTATTTGGTCCGGAGCGCCTGTCAGGGGGTCTGATAGCTGTACGGCGGTACGGCGGGTGGCAAAGAAACGTAGTGATGACGAAATGCATGAACGCTTGCAGATCATCCCCCCCCCCATCCTGTGATACTGAAGACCTCTGCAGGCGCTTCTCCTCACCCCTTGTACTCATCCGTTGCCCCGCGTCCGATTGCCCTCACCCCAACCACGCCCCAACCGCTCCCCAACCGCTCCCCAACCGCATTGCACCCTGCAGCTTGCTCTGAAGATGGCGACACTGGGCCGCAGCAGCAGTAGCAGTAGCAGGGGTGCCCGGGCCCGGGGCAGTAGCAGCGAGTCGGACACCGGTGTGGGGGATAAGGCGGAGGGGGGGGAAGTGGTGGTGCCGCCGCTGCTGCAGGCGCAGGTGCGTCGGATAGTGGGGGGAGGACGGAACAGGGAGACAGATTACTCGTATTTGAGCATTCACCTACCTACCCACCTGTCAACCTACCTGCCAACTCATGGAGGCTTGTCTGCGGGGCTTGTGCATACGTGTAAACGCGGTATCTTCCTCCAATTATATCAACATGCATGTGCACCCACATGGCCGTCGTATAGCCTAACTTATCCCGGACGTCCGGACTCCCATCGCGCGGCCCCAGACACATGAACCAGACCCGCCCCGCCAGCTCCTGCCGCGGATCAGATCATTAAATCACATCACATACCACATCATACATCATCACATACAGACACACATACGCACCTCGTTATGCCTCTCCATGTGCCCCTTCATCATCACATTGCCCAACCAACCTCCCCCCAACGAACCCACACAACCAACCCTCACAACGAACCCACAACCAACCCACACAACCAACCCACACAACCAACCAACCCCCCAACGAACCCACAACCAACCAACCCACACACACCACACCACAGGAGGAGGACGTGTTGGTGTCCTGGGTGGCCTTGGTGTTTCTGACCGCGGAGGAGCTGGGGCTGGCCCCCGGGGACCTCAGGGAACAACCCGCCAGGACCAACCCGCAGCAGCAGCAACAGCAACCTGAGGGGCAGGGGCAGGGGCAGCAGGCGGTGGTGGAGCAGCGTGGGTCATCTGGTCTGGGTGCCTCTGCTGCATCAGTGGCGGCAGCGGCAGCGGCAGAGGAGGAGGCGGAGAGGGGTAGTCGCAGAGCCGATATGGGCACCGGCACCGGCAGCAGCAGCAGTAGTAACAGTAGCAGTAGCAGCAGCAGCAGTAGTAGTAGTATAGCAGCGGGCAATACTTATCTGCGCGGCATGCTGGGTTATGTACGGCAGACGCTAGGGATGTACGACGAAGGTCAGACGTTGGCGCGTGTGGCCGGACTGCAAGGGCTTGTACAGCAGGTGCGCGGCCGAGATATGTGTGTGTGGACGGGGAGGGGGAGGGGTGTTGGGGCATGATGCTGGTACATGAAAGGAAGGCGATGGAGCATGTACGGTATGTACGGCTGGTTCCTAATCGTTTTTTCCTGAGCTGAGTCTTCGTTATACGTTGGCCGCTTTGGAATTGCAGCACCGGCTGGTCTGTTGGTCTGTTGGGCGGTGAAAGCATAACCTTTGTCCCACTTGGATGCACCTTCCGTTCCATCGAGCCACGTCACCCCTCCCCTCGACTCCACGGCTTGGCTTTACTGCTTTCCTTCCGCGCTTATCTTAGTCTTGTCGGCAAGGTAGGTAGTTTTCCGCGGTCGTCATCACTACATCATCCCGAGGTCGCCGCCTTCAAGAGCGCGTTTTGGTCAGTTCTGCTTCTTGTACACTCTTTCCCTGGCAGCAGCTTCACTCGTTCACGTGGTTCGTCTTCCCCCCTCTCGACTCCACTCCAAAGGTGTATCAAAGGTGCATCACCCCCTCCAACAGCAGCACGGCCTGTTGTTGCGCTACTGCCAACGGAAACGCCCTTGTGCTTACCTTTTGAGTTGCTGCTACTGCTGGTTACTGTTGGTGTTGCTGGTACTGCTGCCTGGGCTGGTACTGCTACTGCTTGTACTGCTACTGCTTGTACTGCTACTGCTTGTACTGCTACTGCTGCTACTGCAACTGCTGGTACTGGTGCTGCATGGGGATGCCCCGTGGGGCGCAGTCGTCATCTGGCGGCGGAGGGTCGTCTCCATTCCTGGTTCTCATGCAGCAGTACACCCGGCTGGTCTTACTGACGGTGGAGGTGGTGGCGGCCGCGGGACTAGCCACCGCGCGACCGCTACGACCCCCGGAAACGGTGCTACAACCTAGTGGCTACAGCCAGGCCTTCGTCAGCAGCTGCAACGCAACACTGTTGTTAGGGGATGATGACGAAGACGGCGCGGATATTGCCGTACAGCAGCAGCAGCAGGGGAAGCAGGCGCAGCAGGACCAGGAGCCATGTCCCGCTCGCGGCCTTGCCGTACGATTACTAATGGCCTTCATGGGCGCAGTACTGGGCAGTCAATGGAGCTTGGTCAAGTTTGTGGAGGCTGTACGGGTAGCGTACGACCAGGTGGGACGGCTGGGACGGTATCGTACACGTACGGCAGTAGGACGCGCTGGGAGGCAGCTCAGGGAGGAGGGAAAGGAAGTATGCTTACGAGGGCGTGAAAGCCCGGTAAGGTAAGGGAGTAGAGCCTTAGCAGCTCACTCACCCCACATACACATAGCAACGAGACCCCACTCTCCTAGCACTCCAGTGAGTTACCTTCCGTTTTATCACTCTCTCCTACTTTTATCTCTCCCTCACAAGCCGCGGATGTCTACGCATTCCCGCCGCTCTTTCAACACGCAAAGCGCAGGGTCTGGCGGCGGACGAGCTGTTCTCCCAGCTGGACGAGCAAGAATTCGTACAGAGCGGCGGCCTGCTGCCCATCGCTGGCACGTCGCCGCCGCCGTCGCCAGACGCGGCGGCTGCCATAGCTGGGCCCGATGCCGCTACCCCAATGGCGACGCCGGCGCCGCAGTACCAGATTACTAAGGCCTTATTCAGCACCTGGATCAGTTTGTCGTACATGACAATGGCGCAGCTGGCGGTGCCGTACCCGGCAGCGGGGCAACGGCTGGGCTGGGCCTGGGCTGGGTGAGTGTACGAAAGATGGTTGTGCGGGCGGGACCATGTACGGCTTTATTGCCTCAATGCTGCCTGTTGCATGTGTCTGCCTCCTTGCCTGGCCCTTTGTCTTGTCTGTGTACCTGTGTATCTGTCTGTCTGTCTATCCGTCTGTCTGTCTGTTTCCCTGCCATTGGTGACCCAATTGGTGTCCCTGTTTCTATCTGTCTGTCTATCTATCTATCTATCTATCTATCTATTTGTTTGTCTATCTGTCTGTCTGTCTAGTTCCCTGTTCTTGGTGGCAATGTCAATGTCAAAGAGCAATGCCCCGATGACCTCCTGGATGACCGGCACCATGGCGGTGCCACGGCCGCATTGCGCTCCCGGCCGCAGCTTTGGTGACCCAGTTGAGGCGCTAGGCATGAACGACTTCGTGGCTAACGTCCTTAGGCAGATGGCGGGAGAGGACCCACGGGTCGTTCCTCTGCCGGAGCAACCGTCACAACCGCCACAACCGCCACAGGAGGATCAGCGCCGAGTGGCCACCTCGGATCCTGACGCACCATTGGCAGTGGCACCGACAGCCACGTCAGAGCCGGGATCTCAGGTTTTGGATCCAGATTTGGATTCAGGATCCGTAACTGGCGTTGCGAACGTCACCGGGGGTGGGAGCCGGAGACGAGATGGTGCGCATATGGTCCGCATGGAGGATGAGTCATTGCCCGCTACCTCTATTGCCGTACGGGTTCTGACTCAGCAGGTACGGGTGCGCATAACGATGTTGCCTATATGTCGTGCCGCGTGAGTTCACCCTTATCTGTCGCCCATCTTTGCTCCGGCCACGCGCTTTTTCCTCTTTTTTCTCTCTGGCTCTGTCTCTGTTTCTCTGTCCCGTCTCTCACATGCCGCCTAAAAATATCCATGCATTCTAGAAACATCACCCTATCTCAAATCTGCTTAAAAACAAGAAACGTTCACTTGGTAAACCTGGCTTAAAACGAACGGAACGCAGCGCCTTGAGCAGCTTGTGAAAATGCACGCCAGTACAAAAAGGACACCTGACAAGCCCGCCACGCAGCAGTAACACAAAATAAGTTCGACCGTACTCCGCAAGTCTATTTGCGCAACTCTATTTGTACCCCCCGTCCCGCAGGTGGCTCTTGTTCAGGCCGTATGCTGCCATGTCATGAAGGACGCCCCTGAGGATGGATCTGGAGAATGAGATGATGGTGAAATACGGATCATGAGTTGATGTATGGGGTCAATTGCTGGGGAGTCTGAATTGCGGCTCGAGTAGTTGAAAGAGAGGAGCGTTGAAGGATTCGGAGCGATGGTGGGTGGGATTCCGCGGGGTGTGCGGCTGCTGGAGAGGCCGCTAGGTACGCGATTTTGCCGTTGTGGCCGTTGTGTGGTTGGAGAGGTGCTCAACCTCCTTCGCTTGCTTTGAGTGACTTTTGACGAGCAGCGATGTTATGTGGTTCGGCAATGATGCATGATGGAAGTTTTCTGTAACCTATCATAAATTTATCTGTCACCATTGCTTCTGTACTTCTCCCCGCTTGGTTTTGTTATGATGGTTGATAACTTCTTTGGTGGGTGAAATTGGTGAGTGAGCAATGAGAAAGGAAAATGCAGCGCCGCCGCGACGGTGGTGCACGGCTCTTAAGGTTATGATTGCCTGCGTTATTGTGTGTATGGGTTGTCACTTGACTGACTGACTGACTGACTGACTATCTCTGTATTGTTTATGTGTAACTTTAGTAAACTAAAATTACACATAAACAATACAGAGATAGCTGACTGGATGACTTTACAGGGGGGGAATCCGACCCAACCACCGGTGGTGTTGTTCGCCCAACCCAGTTACCGGTCGGTCGGTCGGTAGGTAGGTAAAAGTAGTTGAGTAAAAGTAGGTATTGTAGTTGATTGGCTCGTACTGGCTAGTGGTGAACGCCGTTTCGAGAATGGTAAGGCCACGGCTTTCCCGTGATATGATGATGTGGGCGGGGAAAGGCACGCCGCTGGCATATTACAGAGTTTCACTTTACCCGGTTTGAAGACAAAAGACCTGTTAACTGTGAACTTCGTACGACGCGGGGTACGGAACCAGACAGGCAAGATGATGGGCTGGCGACCTTTTCCAGCATTTTGCTGATGAAATCTTCGGAAAGACTCCTGGAGTGGGTTCATAAGCCTGGGAAGAGGAGACGGCTCAGGTGGTGGTGGGTGGTTGTGGGAATGACCTCCCTAGAGATTAGCCCCCCGATTTGACAAGATGGTCGGCAGCGGCCTAGAACATTGCCATTTGGCTAGATGCCAGCGATGAGTACGATTTTTGTGCTAAACGCGTTCTTTAGCGGGTCGAGGAAAGCCCATGAAACCTTACAAACTCTTTACGTTTGCTGACTAAGCACTCGCACTTCAACACCCGGTGCACATCCGGAACAACAACAATAATCCGAACTTCTTCCTCTTCCTCTTCTTCTTCTTCTTAGGCATCCGATGCTGCACGCCCACACAGGCATCGTGCACACTTCAGTGCAGTTCGTCAAGTAAAGCAACCCTCACGTACCGTATTCAAACGCGGCACGTCCATATTCGTCCATTCGTACGTCCATTGGTACGTCCATTCGTACGATATAACACTCTTGCATCATCTCTAAATATTCATACGGGCAAATTTTATACAAATTTTAAGGAATCCCGGTAACCCTCCGCGCACGAAACGCATTAAACCTACTGGTAATCAACGCCGCGCCGGCAACAACACTAAAAAATGCAACATCTCCAAACAACGCAACACAGTCGCCCACCCAAGCCATGCTCCTCTGCCGTACCACAGCATACCCCCTCCTCATTCCTCGCCCATGCCGGCCCCCCAACACACACACAGACACACACTAACACACACACACACACACACCGCACGAACCATTTTCCCCCCTTTCTCCCCACGGGCGCTTCTCCTCCCCCTGCTCCCCCTGCTTCCCCCCCCCTAGCACATCCTCCAGCCCGTATTGGCGGACTACCCAGCCCGGGACTACGAACCTCCTCCCCTCTGCTATTGCTGCTTCTTGGCACCGCCACTGCCGCCGCCACGATCCTTCTTGGCTGCCGCCACCGTCACCGCCAGATGCGGACATAGCTGCGGCCGGTTGACCAGGTGTTTGCCGTTGCTGACCACGAAGCCCAACAGGCCCAGTCCCAGCACCAGGGGCAGTACCACCTGGGACAGCAGCACGCGAACTAGCTGGCCGCGGCCGTCACCCGCGGCGGCGGCGGCGTCGCCGGCGGTTGTGGCAGCGGAGGCAGCGCTGGCGGGGGTGGCAGTGAGGTTGGGAGCGGCGGCGACGGCGGCGGCGGGGTCCGAGGCAGCGGCGGTGATGGACATAGGGCCCAGGAGGTCGCCTGCCAAAGCCTGGACCGTTGGGTCAACGGGGTTCCCCGTACGGCCGTTGTACGGCACAAGGGTGAGGGGGCGACGATGATGATGATGATTAGGACGCGGGAGTAGGGGCCCCAGCGAGATGACCGGCGGTGGTAATGGCGATGGAAAAGGTTATGGTGCTGGTGGCGGTGCTGGTGGTGGCGGTGGTGGTGGTGGCGGTGGTGGTGGTGGTAGTGGTGGTGGTGGTGGCGGTGGTGGCGGTGGTGGTAGTGGCAAAGCAAAATGTGCAACGTGCATACCACACCACACCACACCACAGGCACAAAATGCGTGGGGTTTCCCCTCCCCCTTCCCCTCCCCTTCTCCCTCCCCCTCCCAGGGCCCCCGGCGCCTACATGTCCCGCCTGGTGCGCCGCAAAGGCAATGGCCGCCAGCGCCACCACTATGGGTATGAAGGGCGATGGCTGGGGGCGGAGAGGCAGGGCGGTGCCGGGAACCACCGTGAAGGCGCCTGAGGGGGGTGAGGGGGTTGAGCATGTGTTATATGGTGGGCGGAAGTGTGTAAGTGGCCATGAGAGTGTGTGTGTGTGTGTGAGTGTACGAGGAAGGGGAAAATGATATTAAGAGGGGGGGAAGAGCATCAAACGAGACCACCGTCAAAGAAACGCTTAACGATGGTAAGGGTCGGCCGACCCACCCACCACCCACTCACCCACACGACGCACCAGCAGAATGAACATACACACGGATACATACACACGGATACATACATACATACAAACATACAGGCAGGCGGCTGGCAGAGGTTAAGGCCTGACTTCTGCTCCCGGCCGACCCGGGTTCAAATCCGCCTGCCGGCTCCTCGGGTGTTTGAGGAGTGTTGAAATGGGAGGTGGCCCCCATCATACGGACGATGTAGGACGTGATAAAATCAACTTGCGAGCTGACCAGGAACTAAGTTGAGGCGCCGTTGATCCGCTAGATTTGGTTGGATGCCGGTGGTGAGTTGCCGAACCCAACGAATACATTCTGAAGTCGGATGGGGTGACGGATTAGGGTGCCCCTCTAGCAGGGGAGAGCAGGGACTGCCTCGGGAAAGGGGGCCGCTGGCGAAGTTAACCACCCTGTAACAACATACATACAAACATACACACAAGACACACAAAACCCAGTACTCCCCGCCCGATACCCTTACCCGTAAGCAAGTCTATGGCGTCTTGTTTTCGGCCGTCCTGGAAATTGTTGACGTAGTACCTGACCACCGCCTTCACGCCGTCGTCGATGACACCGCCAAAGGTGCGCTTGCCGGTGCGCGTGAAGCCGCTCTTCATTGCGCCCGTGCCTGTGTGCGTGCGTGCGCGTATGTGTGTGCGCGCGCGTGTGTGTGTGTGTGTGTTTGTGTAAAAATATAGTTGGGAGATGTGGGGGAGATTCCTCCGGTCGTCTCCTCCCCCCGTCCCCCGCAACGTGGGATGTCTTCAAGATCTCAGCACTGAACGCATACATACATACATACATACATACATACATACATACATACATACATACATACATACATACATACATACATATATACATACATACATACATACATACATACACACATACATACATGCATACATACCATACATACATTCACGCACGCACGCACACACGCACCCGCATACTGTGTCGACACGGCATCTCCGTGATCCGCCCACAGGATCTTGAACTCCCTCTCGACCTGCGGAAACAGCTCCGGAAGACCCCCTCCCGCTCCCCCTCCCCCCGCCACTGCTCCACCCCTCTCAGGCAGGATATCCAGAGATGTCAGCATGGCCTCCAGAGCCTGTGGACGGGTGGGTGGGAGGGGGAAAAAGGGGGGGTTCACGCGCAGATAGGAAAGAGAGGAAATGGGAAGTTGCAAGACGCGGCGGGGGAGGTGGCGGCGGGTGAGTGGGTGGGATGGGAAAAATGTGGCACGGGGGAAGAAGGGATGGACGGGGAGTCTGGGTGGAGAGAAGAGAGGAGAGGAGAGGGAATCGGGGAAAATGGCTTGGTTTTAGGGTTTTAATATTTACAGAGAAAACGCGACGAGGCAACGAGTGTAAGGTGCTTGCTCCTCGGCGTGGCCACCCTAAACCGCTTTTGTTGGTTTAACAGCGAGGAAGCACGATACGGCGATACATACATCACACAGATTGTCACATGGGAACATTGTACACATGTACATAACACACCCTTACACGCGCCTTACAAAACCACACATACATACATACATACATACATACATACATACATACATACATACATACATACATACATACATACATACATACATACATACATACATACATACATACATACATACATACATACATACATACATAGACTAACCGACTTGTGCTGTGTGCTCCCGACCCTTGCGCTGTGTTTCGGCTTCGGCCCCCGGCTCTCGCGGCCCACAGTGTAATCTAAGTCATACATACATACATACATACATACATACATACATACATACATACATACATACATACATACATACATACATACATACATACATACACACATACATACATACATACACGCGCATATAAACGCGTCCTAACAATCCCTTTCCCTCAACTTACCCGCTCTTCCCTCCGCACTCGATAACTCCCCCTCACTCCGTATCACTCACCTTCCTCCCCAGCACGCCCTGCACCACGTTGGTGCGGTCAAGGCAGTCGATGCAGTTGGTGCGCATAACCCCGCTCTGCCGCCTCACAACACCCCCACTGGAACCCCGGAGCAGGAAGAAACCAAACCGGTCGAAATCATCACGAATCTGTACGGCATGTACGGCGAGGGGGTTGGTGGCGACAGGTGACGGGAGAGGCGAGGAAAGGAGGATAATATATATCGGACAAATAAAAACAATATAAAAGGTACATTTTTCTAACAATGAAACAAGTAAGATGACCTGCGAACAGAAGAACATGCACATCAAGCGAGTATGCGAGTGCACATGCGTGCGTATGCAGATGTCGGGAGGTTGGTCGGGGAAGAACGTCATCAACGTGCGGAGTTGGACTCGCCTTCTCATACCGGTCGGCACAGAACGCCGTGTATCCTCCTTCCCTTTGGAGTTGGCGAGTTCTCCCTTCCCCACAGCCCCCCACATCTCTCCAACCTTCCCCATTCCCCCCTCCCCCATTCGGATGTGGTTCGTCTTTTCCCCCATCCCTTTCCCCCCTCCAGATCCCCCAATCCGTGCCGTACACGTACAGGCAACCAACCCCTTGCTTCATGCACACGATCTCCGGCAAACCCCAACTTGCATCTCCTCCTCGTACACACAAAGGCACATACATACGCACAGGCACATACACACATACATACATAAACACATGTTCACCTTTTCCCACAGCAGGCTGAGTCGGTGGTATCTCCCTTTCGAGCACTCGTGGTGGAAGTCGAAGGCCAGGTACCTAAAGCCCGCCGCGGGACTGGACGAGCAGTACCGGGAGGCTTCCGTACGAAAGGCAACCTCCAACTTCCCCTCCGTACCCTTGTGGTTAATCAGGTTGATCGCAACGACCTCCCCGTACGACTCCTTAAGGGCGTTCACGTGCGTGTCGAATATGTGGGCAGACTGCCCGGGAGCTGCGATGACGGTGGTGGGCTTATACTTGATGTTGGGCAGCTGTGACCCATGGGTCAGTTTAGGGCAGGGTTGGGGGTAGCGGAGCAGGTCCCAAGAAGAGGACATTGTAAGAGCAGCAGGAGCAGGTCCGAAAAAAAAGACTGCTGGATAAGGTGGAGGGGTTAAAGGACAGGACATGGGCAAGGGCGGCGCTGGTCCCCAACGTTTTCCCCTAAAAACACACGTACAGTACACGCACGCACATATCCGGGCCTCTGCTACCTTCGGGTAATCCTGCCCAACCGTGACATTTCCCCCACCATACATACATACATACGTTACATACATACATACATTACATACATACCTGGGTCCACAGCAGGGGTATGGACCCCCGCACCTCCACAAACGAGGCCACGTCCCCCCCTGGAGTGGTGACCATCTCCTCCGTCTCAACAAAGTTGGCCACATTGCCTGAGTGGGCACAATGGCGATTGGGCGAGGAAAACAAGAAAAGAAATAAGGAAAAAGAAAAGAATTAAATAAGACATTTTGGACTATATTACCATCGGGGTGGAACACGCAGCGCAAGCGACGAGATCGACTTGTTGAATTTATTGAAACTGTTTATATTCTTTAGTCATTAAGAAACTGTCAAGAAGTCACAAGGACAGATAGCCACTACAACACACAACCTAAATGCTCAACCCGTCCAGGAATGCCTCTTTCCAGGTATGCATATATACATACATACAATTCCACACTCGCACTGCACCCTCACGACCATTCTAAAGGCACTTCCTGGGTTCGCAAGCCCCCAACCTCCCACCCCACCCTTACACAGCAACAACCCACCCCACCCCCATCCCACCCCACCGGCACTGTCGCAGCCCCGCCGCCACTGCCGTGTTCCCGCCCTGTCCACCCCCCTTCGAGCAATCAGGGTGAGGGTGGCGGTGTGGGTTTCGGAGCCCCTGCTGCCCCCCGAGGTTTGGAACATGAGTTGTGGAAGCTGCCGAACAAAACCCAGTACGGCAGGCGGCGTGAACCTGGGCACGGGAAGCCCCGGCGGAGGGTCGGAGGGGATTATTTGTAAGAAACAACTGACGACGTCGGAAACAGCGATAGTATGTGCGTGCGTGTGTGTTTTAACCTTTCTTAAGTTGCGTTATACTCTCCGAAGGTGTAACCAGGGGGCCCTGACGTATACGAGCCGTATCAGGGCGGCCCTTCAAGGGCCGCAGCCTAGGGCTGTCCGAATGACGGATAGAGGAGTCAGCTGCCGACGTCCAAAATGTCAGGACGGGGAAGTAGAGAGCGCAGGGGGCCCGGCCCTCCCTCCCCCCGGGTTTATCGCAGGCGGATGACGGGTTATCTATCGCAGATAGACACGCAGATCCCGTAAGAAAACACAACACGTGTGCATCCAAACGTGCGGGGGGGGGCAGCACAAATGGACAACCTAAGCGGGGGCGGGGCGGGGAGGCGGAGGCAGAGGAGAGAGAGAGAAAATCATGAGCTGCACAACGACCCTCCCGACTTCCATGACTAAGTCATCCACAACCCGTAGCCGCCCCGACCCCCACCCCCACCCGTGTCACCACCGGTACCCCCCTCCGCCCGAAGGCGAATCCAGAGGCGAAAAAACACGCCGGAAAACATACAAACGTACAAACACACACGTGCCTCTCTATTCCCGCAATCTTTCGCCCCTCATTACCTGTATCCCCCCGCCTCCACCAGCGGTGTCGCCAATGCCTTGTTGTACCAGAACCGCTCATCCGCTCGGTTCGGAGAGGACAGGGGCGCGGAGGCGGTGGCGGGGTCGGCGTCCCGGTCGGCAATGCGCTGTGCTGAGAGGGTGAGGTCGTAGAAGTGGGAGAAGTAGATGCCGCGACCCGAGCCGGCGGGATCCACGGCGTCCTGTTGCCCGTGGTGCACGTGGCGTTCGGTGAGGATTGGGGTGTTTTTTGCGGGGGGGGGGTGTTGTGTGTGTTTATGTGTGCGATAGGTGCGAGGGGAGGGGAGAAAGGAAGATTGGCTTGTAGAGGGATGCAGCCAAACGAATATCTTATATTCTGTCCTCTGCCACGCCGTACGAATCGGTACTAATATCAGTACTTGGAAGTATAATCTATTTTAACAATGCGAAGCCGTTTAGCAGTTGCAGCATGCAAATTTCACACCAAAAAGAGGGGGAATGGGGAGAATCACATGCACGTGAACTAACTACTACCTGCGTCTGCGGTAAATGAACTGCGGAGAAAGGCGGCGGGGGAAGGAGATCGCAGGAATTGACGCAAAAGGGGGAGCTAAGGGTCAACTACCAACTGCCAACGCGCGCCAACTACCGCGCGCGTGTGTGGGGGAATAGCTTTCGCGACGGCGTCCTTTTCGTCGTTTGTCGTTCGAAGGGATACGTGATACCCGACGACGTGCCGTTCGCTGTTGTGCCTGCGTGCGTGTGTTTTTTCTCCTGCACACTCTCTGGCATCAGTTTAGACCTCCCCTCACCACCGCGCAAAGAGGAATTCCCCACCCGCCTAACTCCTGAAAACAAACTTTCCCCGGGCGGGCCCCCCCAAAAAATCATTCGTCCACCTCCGAGTACAGCCATAACAAGCCCCACCCTGAGCAGCGCCAGCAGCTGCCGGTTCTCCCGGCTACCTCGCTCCGAAGCCGGATCCGAAACCACAGTTGCGCCCATAAGCTCGTACACGGGTGCGCCAGAGGGGCCCAGCTCCGCCACCTTCCGAGATGAAGTGATAGCCACCAGGGCCACTCCTGCACGGCGGGGTGGCAGGGGGGTTATACGGGTTATACAAGCTACTACGAGTTCCGCACACACACGTGCGGGGTGTCAGTAAAAGCCTGAGGGGGGGCCATGGGTTATAAGCAAGAAACCAACGGGGAGTGAGGGGAAAGACGAACAACGAACGAGTGAAGAGAGGGGGTGTACATGCGAAGGTCCGAAGTCTGAGACGGACGGTTGCCGCCGTGGATTAAGGTAATGCTGGTGGCCACGTCGCAATGCGGTACTCCAGGGCGGGAGGAAGAGGGGAAAACATATGATGCAAGAAACAAAGAATCAGCTGCCGTCGTGTAAGAGTGTGAGTGTGGTGTTTGGGGCCTGGGGGAACAGCCCGCGGTGTTGACCCAGATCGCGGTGTTGACCCCGAAGGGCAGAGGATTGGTAAGCTGTGACCCCGATCGGCGAGATACGCGATGACCCACATCGAATTGCGACGTCTTCATCATTAATACTGATTAAACGGCATGATTGCCGGGATGAACTGCGGTTTATGGCGTCGGAGCAGACGATAGCGATAAATTGAAAATTTCCGTCACACGCTCATGGAATGCGTGCCTTTGTGATGAACGGTGAGGGATGGCAGGTGCGAAAACTGGCTAGTAGGGATACCAAGCTGGGCCATTTTCATATCAAATTTGATATCGCAAGTACATGGACGTGTGATACCGCCCCGTGGGTCGGTGCAAGATGTGATGCAGCTCCAATGCACAAGGCAAGCACTGATAGCGCCATAGCGCCAGTTGCCGTGAGATTTGCGCGTTGGATACCTTTTTGCAGCTTGCAGATGCCGAGTAGCCCCAGGGAATTTATAGCGCTGCTGCCGCGCACGACATCCTTAGACGGTGAAAGGGTGATCTTGCCGCTGGACAAGTCGATCAACAGCGTCTCAACTGACTGCTGGTTTGAAGCTCCCACTGCAGGCTGCACCACAACCTGGGAGCCTTGCCGTAAAATCCGCAGCAATGGGAAGCAGAAGCGGGCGTCCATGGCCGTGGCTGTTAATGATGGTGCCTCTGAAGCCAAAAGTGAGCTTGGGTCAGAATCCTTGGTAAACTGGCAAGCAAATTTAAGCCTGGTCAGGTGTGAAAAGCTAGGGTTGCTCTTTTCCTGGGGTCTGTGGGAGCTGCCAATACGTATTTGTGCTGGCGCGTGCCTCGGCGTCCAAAGCGTCAATGAGCGACGTGCTAGTTGTCTGGTGATCACGAAGGACAGGCCGCGTGCTGGGAGCGCCAGGGCGCTCCCTCGAGGAGCTAAGTTGTAAGGCTATTGCCACCAAAGCAGCACCAGTACCACAGCAAAGTATCAAGGAGGAAAATGAGCGCACATGCGATCTAACAAATAAGCCCATTCACAAATTTGGTCGAATAGAGTGTTTACTTTTCATGATGGAAGTCTGCCGTGAAATTGCTCAAACGATGAAATCACCGCGTCATTAGCACCCCTTGCATTTTGGTACACTATTGTTATAAAAATATCTCTATGGTACGCATAATATCTTTCGAGTTTCGGCATTCAACTTGTCGTGGAAAATTTAAACCACCGTTGCCAACCTCTGTTCGAAGCTCAAGCCATGGATGACTTCTAATTGTAATGCAACTATGCCCACCGACCATCCCAGGCCCCCAATATCCAAAGATAGTCGAAAAGTATCCACTTCCCAGCATAGGACGACAAAGATCTAGCTACAAAGCTGTCTTGCCCCCGACAACATGGACTTCGACTTCCCAAGGCGCAATGCTCTCAACTATATGGCCGCCCGTACGAAGCAGACGTTGTCACTTCACGTGCCGGATTACCATGGCTGCTTCCGCGAAAAGACACGTTGGGATAGCCTGCACGCGTCCAGAAACTGCTAATCGCAGGGGCAAGCTTTGGACGTATAAGCAGCAAGAGAACGTGTTGTTCCCGGTGTCAACTAGTGCTCCCGAGCCCGCGTGTGGCTCCTCCGATTGCCACCCCTAGCAAGCCGCTAGAATGGTGCCGTGCTTGCTGGGCAGACAATGGGGGTCCTGAGCCTTCCCTTTGGTCGCTGTTTTGACTGGCTAATTGCCATTACTTGTCTCATCTGGGTGATTGTCTAATTTGTATATTAGTCTCTAGTGCAGTGCACGGCCAGCTGGCCGCTGGCTCTACTCTTCGCGAGTCTGGAGCCCACTGTAACAACCACACACACACACACAATGCGTGCCACAGCTGCCGCTATGCTGCAACGCCCTCAAAGATGCCGTAGTACTCTGAGCGACAACTCCGTTTGTGTTACACTGCCGGACTGACCAACGCACCGAGTTCGTTAGCAAGGTGTAGCTGCAGACTGCCACAGCACAGATCGTATCGCCAGGGGGCGGGAAGACAAACGGGGGACGAAGGACCAGTTTGCATGTTCGGTGAAAGCCTTCATACCATGTACGGTCGAGAAGGTTCACAACATACGAGGCGCTGGAGTACGGAGTATTTCAGCCCAACCTCGAAACCCCCAATGCACTACCGCCGACTGTGATACTGTCACATGTCAACGCCGTTCATGCATCACGCTTACCGGTGCTATTAGCTCCATCCAGGTGACCGAGCATGGTCCGGTCCCTGCTTTGCACGCACTAAGGAAGCGCATGCGCAGAACTGACGCAGTCAGACAAGCGCAGCAATTTTGGCAAGTCCAGGAAATGGGAAGAAGATACACCTCTCCACCAAGCAATGACCCCATTGCCCCGGACAGGCCCTCCCTTGCCCTCAGTGGAGTGGAGTAACAACCCGATGACGTGTAGCCCTAGGCAAGCGTAGGGCATGCTAGGTCAAGCCTTTCTCAGCGCTGGTGGCCATTCAAGAATCGCTTACATGGGCGATGCAGATGCGACTCGCAGATGGTGTAACTTCACGTGGAGAGAGGTTGCTAGGGACAAGTACCGGCGGTCGCCACCTTGCCGCGATCGACCTTGCAGAGGCAGCAGTGATTGTAGCTCGTAAGGGGCCACGCGGGCAGCAAGGGATAAGGGGAAAGGAACCGTTAACAACTGTGCGACGCTTCAGTGAGGATGGAGGTGTGGCTCCAGGGCTCGTTAAGCAACCGCTGCGGGGCGAGGGTGCTTGTCGTAACAGCAACACGTGAACAGTGCGCATTGCGATGCAAAGCGGAAGATAAACGGATGCAGGTGCGCCCTGCGGCGGGTACTTCTGTGATGGCTGGGTGTCCGGGGTGCTGTGTTGTGTTGGGTAAAGATGCGATGCTGCCGGACTCTAAATAGATCAGAGGTCACCGTATGAGCTGCCGCCATGCACGCTTGTGTCGGGCATGTGCAGCCATAGGGGTATTGTGCGGGGACGTGCTTATCCTAGGCACTGTGATGTTATGTGAATGAAGCCGCGGGGCACTCTGTTGCTGTATGGCGAAAACAGGGTAAGCAATCGGCATGCATCAAGGGAAATCCGCTGGGCGACCCGCGGGTCAGCTGTGACACTTTTACTGCCGGGTTATCGGGGCAGCCTGTAAATTGCCAAACGTGTTGAAATTACGTGTTGCAATCGGCGTGGATGAGGCTATGTCAGCGAAGGGGGGACTCAACGAGCTACCAGGCTTGGTGCAGACTTTTCGCTAGTGCGATGGGGATGAAGCAAGCCATTTAATAGGCTGAGCAGCAGCAGCAGCACTAAATTTGACGCCGGGGATTATTGTCGCGCCCTTCGCAAGTGCGAAACGGTTTCAACTGCCAGGTACAAAGATACAGGTTTCAGGGACGCGCTCAAAAGGATCCCCGCCCGGAAGATTATCTATGTTCTCCAGCTGGATATGATGCGTGAAATGCATATTCAGGAAACCCGACTGTAAAACTGTCCTGCAATGGGAAACATACAGCACAGTGCGAACAACATCAAAATGCACAATGGCTTGCCTGAAAGTCAGCCGTATGAAACAGCGAAACGCTTGATAGGGTACGAACACGGCAGCTTCTTACAACAGCTGTAGGTGATGGCAGCAAATCCTCTTTCCTGAACAGAACTTGTAAGCCAATTGTTGCACCCGCGGTTTCCTTACTTCCATTGGTATGCTGAGAGTTTCGTCTCCAATCCAAACTCTTAACATCCAGGCCATTTCATGGTTATGTGTACCATGAAAATATTTTGTGTAACGTGCTCTACCGGTACAGTGCCGAAGGACCAACTTGTAAACAGGAGAACAGCCAGAATGACCCGCGTTCCCCATACGCCTGTGTACACCTTAGCGTAGGCGAATGGCAATCCACATCCCATAGATTTGCATGGAGAACGTGCTACATGGGGTGCTGGTGCTCGACAGCGAATCCGCCTCAACAAAGCAACTCGGCGGAAAGCCCTTTCACATCGTCGGCAGGAATAGCGCCAGCACGAACGTCCAATGTGCTGGGAACTGCCAAGTCATCCTTCCAACTAGCTGACCAGAATCTCCTATTGACCTTACGCTCCAATCGAGACCTTTTTGACCCGAGCTCCATTGTGGACTCCGGATGCAGTATTCCAAAAGAACCTAGCATTCCATCTGGGGGAACTGCACCTGGTCAAGAAACTTCGCGCCAGGACCAGCGGCCATCGACTGGCTTCTGGCAACTACCAATAATACATTCCACAAATGCCGGTTGCACACTTCAGCCGCGAAACGGCGACTTCGAGGACCACGCTGGGCAAGACCTCTTAGCAGATGACCCTGATGGCGAGTTAGTCTGCGGGGCTGCGTCCCCGGCCATCGACGTACCAGCCGCAGGTGCTGACCCTGGCACATTGATAACCGGTGGTGACACTGCCCGCGACAGTGATGTCCTCGACGAACTTGGCAACGACAGCGACAGCAATCTTCTCAAGTCCTCCCAGAACCTGCTGCAATCGGTCGTACCTCTGCTGCTCAGCCCGTCTACCGCTCCCGCCACCGCGGCGGCCCAACACACTTGTATCGGTGGGCCACAGGCAATCGCCGGTAGTGGCGGCGGAGACGATGCCTCCAACGCAGCCCCGCAGTGTTTCACGCCTGCAGCAGCATCCCTTCCCAGACCGGGCACCGCGGCCACCGCCACCGCCGCAGTTCCCCCATTCCCACATCCCGGCGGCACGTCGGAGAGCATGCAGTTCACCGCATTCACCACCACCACCGGCGGGGGAGGCGGAGGCGGCGGCCCTGCCGCCACCGCCATGGGGAGGCGGCCCGCCTTCATCCGCGGCCTCACGCGCGACTCATTCTTGATGAACAACACCACCACGGGCGGCAATACGGCCTGCAGCGGCTACATGCTGCGCACCGGTACGGGACGTGGGGGGGAGATGGTGCTGCAGGCGGACGCCAACTGGCTTCCATTCCAGATGGGTAACCCGCTGCAGGTGAGCCCACCATGTACATGAGCCTCCTCGGGATGGGGCGGGGTGGAGTGAAATGGAATGGGGTGGGGTGGAGTGGAGTGGAGTGGAGTGTCAAAGGCCGGCATCAATTTAGCAGCACGTGGTTGATAAGAGACAAGGACATCGTAGGCCGTTATTCTTGATGCGTAATAATCATGATGGAATCCATTTTTCGTTGGCCGTTGTACGGCTTGGCCCCAGGTCCAGATCGGCGAGTTGCTGGGCCGTGGTGGCTGTGGGTCTGTGTATCGAGGCCAGTGGCGCGGCCGCCCCGTCGCCGTCAAAGTGGTGCAACAAATCGTGGCGCCGCCGGCTGGCGCGGCCGCTGCCACCGCTGCCGCCGCCGCCGCCACCAGCGGCGGTGAGGCATGTTCTGCGGCGGCGGTGCCGCCACCGGTCATTACGCCGCTTGTAGACTATTTTGATTCGTCTGATGGACGAAGCCAGCGCGACAATGTGAGGAACATTTGTACGGACGACGGTGACGGCACCTTTGCGGCTCGTGCGCCGTACCTTCCCGACGCGCATGCCTCCGTCAAGCGCCTCCGCCACCCTAATGTCCTGCGGACGTTCGCTTACGCGGTACTTAGCGCGGCCCCGCAGCTTGGCGGCGTACTGCCAGCTCGTCACGAGCATCACGTGGTTCTGGAGCTATGCGACGGCGGCAGCCTGCGCGACTGGCTGGACCAGTTGCTTCAAGCTGGCGGCGCCGGCGATTGCAAGGAATGTCGTACAATGACGACGCAGCCGGTGCCGGCAGGTAGAGAGAACCAGCCGGATCCGCCGCGCCCCGGCGGCAATGGCGGCGGTGGCATGGATGCGGACGCGCTGGCGGCGGCACGGGTGGCGGCGCGTAATCCCTTTGAACGGGCGCCGGCGCAAGCGTGTTGCACGAAACGTGATACTGCTAGTGGTCCGAAGGGGGAACCGATCCTGGAGGAGCGCAGGCATGCGCTTATCCTGGGGCTGCAGCAGCAGCAGCAGCAGCAGCATAAATTGCAGCACATTGCCGAAGAACAGCAGCATATCGAACCGCAGCCATCTGGCCATGTGCAGCTTGACCCACACCGCATGGAACCGCCACCACCGATGCAGCACGATGCTCTTCCGCCGATGTCACAACAGCCACAGCAGGTAACACCGCCACCGCCGCTGCAGGAGCTACAGCCGCGGCAGCAGGTACTGCCGCCGCCGCTACCACCACCATCGCCAGCACAGCTGCAGCAGCAGCATGCGGCGCCTCCTCCGGCTCCAGCGTGTTTGGTGGCCGCCGAGGATTGTTCGGGAACTGGCAGCGGCGGCGTAAAACGACTGCCAGCGGCAGCAGCGGCAGCGGGAACGTCGTCAGGGGTTTCGTCCGGCGGGGAAGGGGCTCCGGCGTTGGCGGAAGGACTTCCGTCCTGTACGACAGTGCAGTGCGGACCAGCATTCGCAGCCGTCGATGGCGACGACGCGGCGCCACCTGCTTTTGCGCCGCTGCCGGCGGCGGTACGGCAGTGCTCGCTGGCTGGCGGCAGAGAGTCGACGTCCGGGACCGTTTCCCGTCGCCTGCCGGGCCTTACGCCAGCCCAATCAGAGCAGCTACAGCTCTTGGGAATGGACTGGGTGTCAGATAGTCAGTTGGGAATAGAACTGTACTGCCGGCAGTCGGCTGGTGGGCGGGTTAACGGTGGCGGCGGCGGCAGCGAGGCTGGCGGCGTCGTGGCGTCGTCGATGTCGGACCCCAGCGCTGGCATGGAGGGCGTCGTAGGGCTGGACGCCGGCGGCTGTGGCGGCGGTGACGGAGAGGGCGGTAATGTGCTGCTGCAGCGGCCGTCGGCACCGGCGCCGCCGCTGGCGGCGCCGACGGAGGTGGGTGAGCTGGCGGCGGATTGGGTGGACGCGACGCTGCGCGACTCCCCCAACGGTTCCTTTTGCTCCGGAGCCGCTTCCACTATGGTGCGTCCAGAAAGCAGCAGCTGCGTTGGATTCCATGCCGTACAACAGCACTGTGTGGTGCTTGATGATAACCTTGACGACGACGATGACGACGGCGGCGGTGGTGGCGGCGGTGGTAGCTTGTACAACGGCAGCGGCGGCGGCGGCAACGCGGAGTTGTTTTCTGAGTTACGGCTTCATCATCAGGGGGGCCGGTTGGGTTTGGTGGAGGAGGGGTCAGGGGAGGGCCGTCAAAGCTCAATGAGCAGATGCGGCTCCGCCGCCGCCACCGCCTCCTCCACCGCCGCCACAACGACGCCCACAGATACGACCGGCATGGCCCGCGTGGAGGGTCTTTCCTTTCGTCGCGAACCCACAGACGCGAGCACCCTCAGCAGCAGCGGCGCCGCCGCCGCCGCCACCGCCGCCTCCACCGCCATCTCGTCGGGAGTGCCGCCACCGCCGTCGCCATCCCAGCTGCCGCCGCCGTACACGCTTCGAACAACATTACCGACGGAGGTGTCCAAGGAGCCATTACCGTCGCTGGTGACGTGGGGCCGTACGACAGCGGCGGCCGCGGCGGCGGCGGCGATGCCGTCACGGCTAGGACCCATCTCCCCAGCGGCAAGCAATGTCGCCGCTGGGGCTGCAGAGACATGGGGCGCGCTGGGGGCAGCTGCTCAGCTGTACGGCAAAGAGTCCCCGCAGCCGCAACCGCTCAATGGCGAGTGTGATACGAGCACAGTTACGACGCTGCTGAATCGGAGGGCTGTGGGAATGGTGAACTCAATCCTGCGGGCCGCCGGCGTCAACGTCGGCATCGGCGGCGGCGCATTGCCGGTGGCGGCGGCATCGACGGCGCCATCGCCGCCGCCGGTGGACCCGATGAATCCTGCTCAACTGCGCCACCTGGTCACGGCTCTGGATTGCCTTGCGGAGATTGCGTCAGGGCTGTCGTACTTGCACGGCGTCGGCATGGTGCACGGGGTGAGTCACAGTGTTTTCCTTGTGACCCCCTTCTCTTCCTCTCTTTCTCCTTTCCCTCGTTTTTCAATGGGCCCCCCCTTCCTGTGCGGCGGAAGTGGCCCCCATATCAACGGGGGGGTGGGGCCCTGTCCTGGCCCGCCCCGCAGTGCCCGGTCCTGCACCGTAGCCGCCCTGATCTACCTTGCCAGCAGCACAACAAAACGAAATGCTCCGCCCCTCCCCCGGCCTCTGTGTTGTTCCTCATCTGCTTCGATTTTCTCAACCCCCAATAACCCCTCTTCTCCCCCCCCCGGCCTCTTCTCTCCCATCCCCGTCCCCAGGATGTGAAGAGCGGCAACTTGTTACTAAAACTGGACCCCCGACATCCCCGGGGCTTTGTACTCAAACTGGCCGACTTTGGGTTTTCAAGGTGGGGTAGGAGGGGTAGGAGGGGGGGGACGGGAGGGTCGGGGGAAAAGGGAGGGTCGGGGGGGGGGGCCG